CTATATTTCAATTGATTGTTGGCAAGTTGTCTCTCCCAGTAAAATGTGAGTTCAATGAGGTCATTAGTTCAAGATTTGACTTTTATGACCTAGGTGCTATACCAGGTGTTGGAGATACAGAACACAATAAAAACAGTTTCTGATCTTGCTAAACTTATATCTAATAGGAAAGACAGACTTTCAGTACTATGATAAGTGCAAAGATAGAGGTATGTATAAATTGCCTTAAGCTCAAGAACAGTTCTTAGCTCAGTTTGAGGGGACAAAGAATATTCCTCAAATTGGCTACTGACCTGAAACTTGAAGGGTGAGTAGAAAGTAGCTAGTAAGGCAGTTTCAGTGGAGGTAGGGTCTGAGGTGGGGGAGCAGTGGGTTGCTCAGTAACTAGATTTAGGAATCGAAGACAGTGAGTATAGATGGCTCTTCTCAGAAGATTCAGTGATGATACAAATGATGCTGTGGAGCCCTGGCTGGTGTGGCTCAGCTGGCTGGGCATTATCCCATGCACCAAGAAAGTTCCCAGTTGGGGCACATGCTGGGGTTGTGGGCTTGATCCCCAGTAGGAAGTAGGCAGGAGGCAGCTGATCCATGCTTCTCTCTTTCCCTCTCCCTTCCTCTCTCTTTCTAAAATCAATAAAAAAAATATATTTTAAAGAAATGATGCTCTGGAATACTTTGTTGAATCTCTACCTTGTCCCTCACACTGTGCTGGGCAGAGGGAAGTCCTATGAGGTCTGGTGTTTGTTGTCACAGATATTTAGTTCCATTAATTAAAAAGTGTTTCACCTCTCAAGTTTGATAAAAGTAGACGTTCACATTTCAGTCCATTTTGTAAAAGTCATCCTTTAAGAATATGTTGGAGTTATTTTAAAGAAATACATGAGTAACTTTATAGGTGCTTGAAACCCAAGTGTTTCAAAAAACAAATGATGAAATGTATTCTCCCTCCCCTGGACTTCCAATGATTTACCACTTGGAAAAATAGAAAAATATCAGTAAAAACTATATCTAAAAATAGTCCATACATATAACTTATAAGGCTTTAACATTTTTAAAGATTTACTTTTCAGTATCTCCTGACGAGTGTCATGGAATAAGAAAAGTTTCTTATCTCCTTTGCCCCTCCCCTTTCAAAAATAACCGCACTACCATACACATAAGAGATGTCATTTGGCTGTCAACAAAGAGGTGGCAAAATCATTACTTGAAGGGAAGACCTTATTTGGAATTGATGGCACCTGGAGGAAAAATGTGTACCATGGGATGTAATCGACTGAGAGTTTCTATATAAAAGTCATGAAGTCTGCCCTGGCCAGTTTGGCTCAGCAGTTAAAGCATCGGCCAGCGGACCAATGAGTCGCAAGTTTATTCCAACCAAGAGCACATTCCTTGGTTGCTATTTGACCCTGGCCCTGGTCGGGGTTGTGCCGGAGGCAACCACTTGAAGTGTCCCTTTCATGTAGATGTTTCTCTCTCCCTCCCACTCTATCTGATCAAAAATGCAAAAATGTCCACAGGTGAGGATAAAAAAAAAATAAATAAATAAATAAAAGTCATGAAGTGTGAGGTTTCATTAGAATTATAATCTTTCATTTAAAGAAAGTATGGAATTATAAGAAATGAAGTGTTATTTCCTTCCAAAAAAAAAGTTCTTAGGCTGTCAACTAAGCAATTTTGGTGTCATTGCTTTCCCCTAAGGAAACTAAGCATTTAAATATCTGGTTTGACTTGTATTTCTGATTGCTGACTATGGTTATTCAGGAACTTGCAAAATCTTTCATCACACCATCAATGATCTCAGGTTAATCAATCTCTCAGGACCAGAACAAAGGGATTTTCTTAAATGCTTAACTGAAAAAGTTTAATATACCTCATAAAAATCAAGAAAAGGTAAACTTTAAAAGAAGTAATTTTTCAAAATCAGTCTGAATCAATCTCTGATGCAATAAATACAAGAAATTAAATTTATTATGTAAATTCTACATCACTCTTTCCCTAAAAATCCTCTCAATTAAAAATAAATATTATTTAGTCCCCTCAATGTTCTCTAAAGTAAGCTTCCATGATCAACTAAATAGAAATGAAAAGGAGAAACAATTCAAACTATTTCCACTCCCTACAAATTTTCTCTGAAATTCACACTGGTAAAAACTATGGTACATTTCTCAGCTCTCTAACTATCCTATACATTTTTAAGCTAAATATGTGAATAAAACGGTTTAAATATGGTTAGAAGCTGGAGAACTAAAGCAGCACAAGATACTCAAAGGAGACTAATAAGCAAATCTGTGTGGCATTTTGGCTAAACAGTAAAAAGACCAGTTTCAGTTTTCTCTTCTTAATTCCTTAAGTAACTCAATAGTTATTCAATATTTTCTTTTCTTCAATGTTTCTGGTTACCTAGTTCAGTGTCTGGAACACAGCAATTTTATTAAAAAATAAAATTTATTATAAAACTTACCCTCCAAAAGCTATTTATATATACCTCTTCAGACCACTGGGTTTGTATCTGCTCTATTATTTTGGATTTACTTACATATTTAGGCTCAGCCTTCATTGCACACTTAATGTTTGACCTGGTAGTCAGCATTAATCAGTCACTGAGCCATACACATTTTTTTTTAAAACCAGGAGTCAGCAAATGAATAATCATTTAAACACTATAAATGTTATCTAAATGTGTCATCAACACACACACACACACACACACACACACACACACACACACACACCACTCCTAGCAACCAGAGTTTGAAAATGCATATACTGGTAATCCATTGTGAGAACAACCATTCTCTTTTGTTGCCCCAGAAATGCTGAAGAACATAAAAAACAAAAAACAAAAAAACAACAACCTACTTTATCAGATTAAATGAAAAACTACCTAGTGAGGACTATCATAAAACAACGTATGATTGATGAAATTCTGAGTCTCCTGAGCTAATGTGGAGGCAAAAAAATGTCAGCAAGATAAAGCAGCATGCTGTGATGGCAGGGTAGAGGGAAAGGAACCAGAAGGATGTCATCAAGAGTTCTTGAAAAGTCATTTATTTCATCCATTTGGCCCTCACCTGAAATGTAAGTTTTAGATAAGAATCTAAGAAAGTTTTCAGTTAAAAAAGTTTGTTTCAGTCCAAATGGAATTTTTAATAAGAGAAAAGAGACAAGGAGTTAAAATAATCTTTCCTATGGACAAACAGATGAAAAAAGCAGCAGATAAATACATCATGATCACTCAGATCACTAAAACAAAAGTCTGAAGGCAAAATAGTGACCATATTTACACAAAATGCTGGAAGAGCAAATCACATAAGTAACTATCACATTTAGTGGGTGTAATGACATAGGTAGAAATGGGGAGAAAAAAATTGCCTTATACTTAGGCATTATGCCCAATATTGTTTTATATATATATATACACACACACACACACACACACACACATATATACACACTAACCAACAGAATTTAGCAAAATAAAAGGAGCTCATGCCTTCTCCATTAACAGTGATAGATAAATATTTTCAATTTGAGCCTCAGGTTGAAAGTAAACTTACATAGATCAAAACAAAATGTATAGTCTTACCTATGTTACCAGCATCAAGAATTTGAGAAATAATAGGTTTTATATAAGAGCAAAACCAGGCAAGTTAGTTATCTTCCAGATAAATATCCAATTGGCTCACATCCTGAGACTTGTGGTCATTTTGAAAATACATTTAATTGTAAATTATGAAGCTCAAGCACTTCTTTTGTTTCTCTTTTCTTGAATTACCTTCCAAAATGTGTGACTGCAGACAAAGCCTTAAAGAAAATAAAGTCTGGGTATTTGTTTTCAGATGGTGTGATTTATTCTCTGGTCTGGATTTCAAAGATGCCAATATAATGTGGATTGTATTTAATTTTTAAAAGAATTTTACAAATATATGCTTATTGCAGAAAATTTGGAAATACAGAAAAAGCACGAGGAAGTAGAGAAAAAACAATCCTCCATCAAGTCACCTAAGGTTACTATTATTTACTTTTTAGTTGGACTTTATATTTTATACCTATATTACTTTGGTATCAAGATTTAGTCACTATATACTATGGCTATTTCCGTCCGTAATTAAATATTTGGCAGTTTTAAAGTGTCTGCATAATGTCTCACGTTGTAGTAATGCTATAATTTGTTGGTGTTTTGTTTATCAACTGTAAAAGAGCTCCAACTTATTAAAAAATAAAAAGACTTCTTTAATGTGCGCAAGAGAAACGCGGACACAGAAAAGATAGTAAAAATAAAAAAATAACAAGACTATTAATGAAACAAAAAAAACATACTAGCTCAAATAGAGGCAAAATAATAGGGTTAATCCAGTAACAAAAGGGTCATCCATCAAGCTTTTTACTTAATGTTTGTATTTGCACCTTGAATTGAGATTTGTTTTAATTAGAGAAGCTCGCGGTTTTACAGACCAAGCAAATACTCCAATCCTGTGGTTTTTTAAATGCTCCGATTCCCTTTACAGATAAAACAAAAACCTGTCTGGCGCCAAAACCATTTGCTTGCATCTGCAGCTCCTGGGCTGACTAGGGTGGTCCGCGCCAGGCGGGTCGGACCCGCGACCCAGAACGGCGGTCGCCAAGATAACCGGAGCCGCAGGTAGGTACGTGCGAACAGAACTTTAGCGAGTGGAACCAAAACGCGTCAAAGGCCCACGCGCCCGGGGCCTTTTCGCCCCAACGCTCCACCAGGGCTGCGCATGCGCTATCGTACCTTCACGCCCTGGGGGTTGAGGCCCTCACTTTGTCGTCACAGGGCAGATGAGCACGGGGCCTCCGCCCTTTCCCTCCCCCTTCTCTCCTCCTCCCCTTTCCCCTACCCTCGTCCCTCAGTCCTCTCCTTCCTTCCTCTCCCCTCAGCCGTCTGGAATCCCCAGCCCACTCCAACTTCCGGCCAATGGCCGTCTGCGGAAGAGTGTCCCGCCTCTTCCGTTTTTACAAAAGAGGTCGCAGCGGCAGCGGCGCCTGCGCGTCTACTGTCAGGGTCCGCAGGCGGGTCCCCTGGGCGGTCCACCTGCGCGTCGCGGAGCCGCGCCCGGGGGTTCAATGGCGATGAACTACAACGCGAAGGATGAAGTGGATGGTGGGCCCCCGTGTGCTCCTGGGGGCACCGTAAAGAACCGGAGGCCGGATAACACGGCCTTCAAGCAGCAACGGCTGCCGGCCTGGCAGCCCATACTTACGGCTGGCACGGTGCTACCTACCTTCTTCATCATCGGCCTCATCTTCATCCCCATTGGCATCGGCATCTTCGTCACCTCCAACAACATCCGCGAGATCGAGGTGAGGGGAGCGAGTGGCGGCGGGAGTTAGCGCTGCTTGGGAGCGGGGTCCTCCCGGCCTCCCCCACACCGTCCCTCTCTTCCTCAGTTTCTTGTTTATGTGGGTTTTCTTAATTTGCATTTTGTCCGAGCTTCTTGAGGTTTACACGATTAGAGACGGAATGAATGCTTAGTGCAGAGATTGTGTCAGATGAAGAACCCCCCCTTTAATGGGTGGTTTATGTAGCTTCGTGGGGATTTTTTTTTTTAACCTCCAACCGAGGTTAAGAGAGGGAGAGAGAAAAAGTTATATATAGATATTACTCCGGAAGAATTGACGCAGTCAGAGTGTCATTACCCTTGTGGGAATTATCCTAGGACACAAATTAACACCTTGGCCATTGTTGGCCAGAGGACCCAGAGTCAGTCATAGCTATTGGTCATTTTTATCTAAAGAAGTTGTCATATGTTAGTTACCAGGTCATATATTAGGACAGATGACCCAAGTGTGCACAGCACCTTTTATTTTGAGCAAATTAATGCTTTTAGTTGTAGGACATGATATAGGTAAAAGGTAACCTGAAACTTCAATTCCGGTTTTGCTTTTAGGCTGTGTTTATAAAAAACCATGCTCTACATTCGCCCTAGGTTTTTTTCCTCCTAGATTTTAAACTGAAAAAAAAAAAAAAAAAAAGTCAGTGATCACAGAATAAGTTTTACACTGTCTACTGAACATTTTACTGATGTAAGACACGATAGAGAAACTTGGGGAAGCATCTTTAATTGTCAAAGCAGCAGTCATAGGATATTAGTCCATCTGCAGTGGTGAAGATAGGTTGATAATACAGTGCAAATATTTTGTATAGATATTCAGTATTAAACATCTGCTAATCTGTTGCCTTGAATATCTGAGGGTATTTTATGTTTGAAAGGACAGTGGTACCAAGTTATTTTGATCTCTTCTGTTCTATCAGGTTATATTTTCCCTCCCCCTCTAATTTTATGCATGTGATTTAATGGGGCTTTCAGAGTAATTTTATTTCAACTACAGGAATAGGCAGACCTGTTTTCCAGTTTAATTTAACATTACTTCAATATATATTTTTAATTGTACAGTGTTTAATTGTACACTTCTGTTGATAACAGTAACAAGGATAGTATCTATAGCATAATTTTAAAATATTTTACTAAAAATTCATTTTCAATTTAATAACTACAGAAAGTGTCACAGTATGTTTTTCAACATGATTTTTATTTTGTTTCTGTCTCCCTAGTAGTCCTTCAGATGTAGTACTTGTTCTCCCAGCTACTAGGATCAGACACAGGAGTAAAGTGATATATTGCAAGGACCATGGGCTCTATTTGGGCTGCGGTTAGGCAGAGCTGGGTTTAAATTCCAGTGTAGTCACTAACTAGCTCAGTTTCTTGGAAAGCTTAATCTTTCTGAGCCTTAAGTTTCCTTACCTGTAAAGTACATAAAATTATGCTTGTCTTTTAAAATGTGAGAATTAAAAACAGAATAGATAAGATTTTTGGTATTAAGTTTGTATAATAAATAGCTACTGTTATTATGATGATTCCTAATAAGGAGATGAGAAGTGGAGCCAGCGAGGTTGACATTTGCTGTTTAGCTAGAAGAATATTATAAAATTGAGGGAGAAACCTAAACCCAGACTTTTATTCTCAACCTTAAGCTTCTACACTACATTAGGATTCTTACTGCAGAGTTAGTAGTTAAGAAGAAAATAGTTTAACATTAGAAATTTGATCATCTTATTTAAACTTCTTAAGATATTAAGGTGAAAGTAGCAATCATTTGCAATTTTATATGTTGGGTATTTATTATCAAAACTCAACTTCTGTTAATATTTACTATACTATGAAAATAAATATTCACTTTCTTTAAAACCTTTGGGTTTTGAAATAAAGTAAGGTTCTTTACTTTTACACGAAGTAGTTGGTGAAATAGAAATTTCTTAAATAGTTCTCATGTATATATTTCTGATTTCAAGTGTTCTGAAGAGTCTGCTGCAGCTTGCTGGTTAAAAGTACACTGAAGTTAAAAGTCAAGGCATCAGAGTTGAAATTCCACCTCTGTTAGTGATCCTAAGCATATTTTTGAGTCTCTATTTTTTACTTGAAAGAACCAAAAGATTCAGACTGGATGATCTCTGATATGATGTTTAACTAAAATTGTATGTCTTCCAACTTAAATGTGATTTTTAAAAAATGCTGTATGTCCAAATTATATCACCTTTGGAAGTAGAGAAAATGAAAAGTAGAACTGATTAGGAATTTTGTAACCAATGCTGACATAAATTATGCGAATAGAATAATTTATTTATTTATTTTTAAATTTGGCTGTTAAATATGTAGAAAATTGGTTCTGAATTGAGCCTGGAGTTTAATATGAGAAAAACCAAGGAAGCTTTCCCAAAACACACGTTTGCTTCAGCCTGCTCTTCACCCTTTGCTAGATACTACTGTAGTTTAGTTTAAAATTTGTTGATGCTTATTTAAAGTAAAGGAGCAACCAGAAGTTCTTGCCAACATTTAATTTGATACTATAAGTTGTTTACACCTCTTATTTCCTCATTTTTGAGAAAGTTCTAAGAACATTCATTGCTGTGTTAATCAAATTACTAGGCCAAAGGAGCCAAATCAGAATGCTTTTGTAATATAGCTTAAAGTGATAAGATAAAAAATCTAAACTTTTTAAGTATAAAAATCAGTGAGTCTTTTATGCTACTTCCAGAAATGTTATACTAAAAAAATTACTACTCTTGTAAAGCGTGTTGGATTATCTGACAAGGTGGTGTTTTAAAATTTTAATCTTGTATTAGGCACTATATCCCCACCCCCAACAATTAGGTTTATATATATGTTGTTTAGTTGGTTTTTAGATTTTCCATAATCTAATAAAATGAAGTTACTAGAACACTAAGGTTGTTAATTTAATCATTCATAAGAAAATATTTGAAATGTTTAATACCTCATTCAGCACTAAAGTTTAATATCTTCATATATTGTTAGCAAGGAATAAATATTTCTTTTAATTTGGCAATTGTAGGAGTCAGGCACATCATTCTACCTCAAAGGTAATGTTTTTCTAGTCTAGGACCCTTGTTGGTGAGGCTGAGATATTAATCGAATAACTTGAAAAAATAGGCAGGTATTCTTAACTTTTGCAAAGGCATTTATCAGTGTGAAGTTACACAGTTTAATTGTTAGAATTGGATGAGGACAGCTCAGCTGAAGTGGCTCAGTGGATTGAGTGTTGTCTCATGGATTGAGAGGTCCCAGTTTGATTCCCAGTCAGGGCATATGCCCGGTTTGTGGGCTCGATCTCCAAGAGGGGGTGTGCAGGAGGCAGCCAGTCGATGTGTCTCTCTCACATTGATGTTTCCATCTCTCCCTTCCTCTCTCTTAAAAACATCAATGAAAACATATTTTTAAAAAAAGAATTGGATGCAGACATTATTCAGTCATATTCAGAGTAAATTAAAACACTAAACATTAACTTCAAATTGATATTGCCAAAAGTGTTCAAGATACATTTTCATTACATTTTAGTGGATTAGCATCCCTGCCATGGTTGATAAAGAAATCCAAGTCTTGTTTTCTTCACTTTATATTTAATCCTGATTATTTTCTGTTTTCCCTTTTTGTTTTGTTTTGTTTTCCCTTGTTTTTGATAAAAATATAATTTTATCTATTTTTACTCCTGTGCAACTTGGATTCTTAGATTCCAAGATTTTTAAGAGGATTAAATTTCTGTTCTGCATTTAGTATTCTTTGTTTATACTTAGCTTATAGCTAAGAGTCAAAGAAGAATAAGTTGCTTTGTAGATTGTTAAACATTAATAAGCACTCTATGATAAGTTTAAGATTTTAATATTCAAATAAATTGCAGTTGCTTAGAATCAAACTCTTGGAAATTGACAAGTTTGTGGTGTTAGTGTTTTAATTTGTTACTCAGGTAACTTTAGTACTTAGAGCAAGGCGTGACAAAGTAAATATGGCCAGCCAGGAACCGAGAATGGTTTTACAGATGAACCTTTACCATTGATGTGGTGATAAGGTTCCATAAGGCCCAGGAACCGAGAATGGTTTTACAGATGAACCTTTACCATTGATGTGATGATAAGGGAACATTAAGTTTGAATGCCAGTTAGGCGAAATGTTATCCCTTCCCCCAAATAATCCCATTCTTATTAGTAGACCTGTGTTACCAGAAAATTGTATACAGTTGTTATATATATATATATATATATATATATATATATATATATTTTTTTTTTTTTTTTTTTTTTAATTTTTTTAATCCTCACCCGAGGACATTTCTGCATTTGTCCTCAGATAGAGCGGGAGGGAGAGAGGAACAAAGAGAGAGAGAAACATTGATGTGAGAGAGACACATCGAGTGGTTGCCACCCACACAACCCCAACTGGGACTGGGGACAAACTGCAACTGAGGTACATGCCCTTAGCGGGAACCAAACCCAGGACTCTCTGGTCCGCAAGCTGACGCTCTAACCGCTGAGCCAAACCAGCCAGGGCCAGTTGTTATATTTTGAACGTCATCAATAAAAATTGGTGCAAGTTTGTATTTTCTTATGTTGTAGAAGAGTCTATATAATATCCTCGGTCTTGCCTCTTGCTTTGCAAAGCCTAAAACACTTTCTGGCCCTTTACAAAAAATAATTTACTGCCCTTGACTTCAAATTTTAAAGAAATATACTGGCAAATTTAGTGTTTATTACAAAGACAAGAGTATTTAATTTATACATTCTAATCCTCAATAATCTTTCACTTGGGTATAATGATCCCTGACAATTGCTTGTGTTCTACTTTGTTGTACAAATTTAATAGATATAAAATACCTTAGCTAAATTTACCATTAATCTTGGCTCAGGTAACATCTTTCTTCATTTCTTTGTCATGGTCAGATAAAGTTCAAGCAACCTAAAGCAAATTGCTTCTGAAAGTTTTAGTTAGGTAACCTTTTGTCTTTGTTAGAGC